GTATCTGTGATGGGCCTAGGAAAATTTCCATCCTCTATCCTTGATAAGTTCTGAGATAAGCTGACTAGCCTGGCATGCTCACTTGAGGCTCCACCACTGCAACAGCACTCAGACTAGATTCAGTGTCATTCAGCATCCCATTTCTTATGCTGTAGAACAGGAGAAACTGCTCAGAAAATGATGTGGCAAGGCTGTAGTTGGTGCTAACACACTCAGGGGAGAGCCCTTTGGGCAGTGACCACGCAAGCTGTAACCTTGGGATTCTGTCCTGGCAGCGGTGCCAACCCCACCTCCCCTTCCCTCCCTCCCAACTCTCCGCCCCCTTTACCCCCTCTGCATTTCCCAGTGCAAGTGTCCAGCCCATTGAGTTTCCCTGATGGACACTCTTCCCCTGCCCTTGTCTATCTTGAACAGCAGCTGCAGGACATAAACAAGTGTCCAGCTATTTCCCTGTCCTCTTTGCTCTTCCTGGGTCATGTCAATCCTAGGCATCACAGCCACATTCAGATGAGATATAGACACTTTAAAAAATGACAGCCCTTGCTTGTCTCCTCAGAAGGGCTCAGCAGGGTCCTGCCACCGCTTCTGTGTGCGGCTGGGTGGAAAATGCTGCTCAGCCTGCAAACCTGAGGCTCGGCATGCCTTCCCCACAGGAAAGGAGATCTGGCATCTGCCTCTCGATGGAAGACCCTAGCAAGGAGTGACAATGCATTCTGAGGGCTTGTTTTGCATCAGGAGAGTGGCCCAGCTCAGGGCTTCGCAGGAGAGCCAGGCTGTGCCTCCCTGCTGCCCACCACTGACTCCTGCTTCAGAGCCCCCTGCAAACCATGAGCAGCATCCTGCTGCTGTCCCTCCTCTTCCCAACCAGCTGCCAGCCCCACGGCAGTCAGAATGCTGCTTTGCACACCGATCTTCCCAGGCATCTTCCGAGACCCTGTCGCCCCTGGTTACCCAGCAACCTTCCGCGGAGACAGGGCTCAAAGGCAGTGAGAATTCCCTGGCTCTCCCCGGCTCTTTTCCCGACGGAGCCGGTCAGGCTGGGTCCCCCCCAGATGCTCCCCGCGGCCGGCCGGAGCTGCGCTGCCCTGCTGCGGGCGGGCGGGGACCGCGCTGACCGAGGGCGATTCTGTGCCGCCAGGGAGGCTGAGGGGCCCGCGGGGCACGGGGCAGGCTGCCGGGCACACACGGCCACATTGCCACCTAGCCTCCTGCTCGGGGATGTGCAGCTCCCGCCCGCAGCCCTGCCAGCCGAGCGAGGCGGCCCGTCCCCGGCTGCATCACCCCCAGCCCGGCTGGGGTTTCAGCTCTCTCCCCCTCCTCCCAGCCCCAAAGTCACCCGCTGCTCCCCCCCAGCTCTGGGGTCCATCCACCCTGCTGGCACAGGGCCACGAGACGGGGCCGCCTGTCTCCCAGCCTCAGTCTCCAAGCAGATGGAAGACATCAGCTCCCTGCCGCATCCTTCCACGATAATCTGTCTCGCCCGCTTCCTTCCAGGGACACCTCTTCTCACGGCCAGTAAATCCCCAGTGCTTGCCTGTCTTTTCCAGGCCCTGGCCTTATCACATGTCTTTCATGGGCAAGCATCTTCCCAAAGGCCATCTCTCCCTAGCCATGCAGGATGCCCTGAAAAGGACACCTCTTCCCCAACTCCCACAGAAGAATGTCTGGGCACAGAGTCCCCACCTTCACCAGCAAATAGGCACCCTCTTGGGAGCTTCAGTTGATGCAAATCCTACATCCAAACACATGGGAATGTACAGTAACCTAAAGACCCAGCTGGAACTGAAGGGGGGGCACATTTGTATTGCGGCAAGAAGACTCCAGGACTCTGCCTTTGGCTTCCCTTTGCAGCAGGTGGCAGCTCCCCCAGAAGCTGCACAGGAGATGAGAGAATTCTTCCTAAGCATGTGTCATCCTGGAGTTTTTTTTCTACTGTTATATAGAAGCACGTTAATGCCAGAATAATAAACAGGGACCAGGGGAGAAAGTGACCTTCTGGCAGCAGCTGAGATAGGAAGTGTTTTGGTTTTTCTTCCCTCCTCTGAGGGACTCATTCCACCTGCCTGTAGCCATCCTGTAAGAAAAGAACCTGCAGGAAGAACTGCTACACAGGGAGGAAATCACATCTGCTTTCCTAGTAGGATGGATGCAAAAGGAAAAGCCTCCCATTTGGAGAGAGGTTCAGCTTCAGTGGACCCCAAAGAAGGATGCCCCAAGCCAGAGCCCAGGAAACCCAGTAGCTGCTCCCAAGACAGCACTGGCTCACTTCTCAGAAGACTCTGGAACAGGGCAGAGCACAGCCTGGAAGCTGAGAGCAAGCAGGTATTATTCCCTGTGCAGAAACAAAAGAGGGGACCTGGAAATGAGGATCCTTGAGCAGGGTCTGCTCAAAGGAAAAGATGGAGAGCCTGGAGAGCCCACATCGGCCTAGGCAAGGCTCCATCCATCTGCCCCTGCCTGCCCAGGCTCTACTGCCGGAGCTCACCATCCTGCAGCCATGGCAGGGCCCACAGCAGTGAGATGGGTGGCAGCTGGCTATGGGCTCATCCACAAGCTGCACCCTTTCCCGTCAGAGAGATACTGCTACAGGCAGCACCTGGAATTTGCCAAGCACAGAGCTGTCAACATAGGCCAGGGATTTCTGCTGAGACTATATTCCTCATCAGGGGAGACAGGTAAAAACTGCAGGAGACGCACTATGGGATATGCTTAGCTTAGCTGTCTGCATGTCTGCTTATTAAGCTCTGAGATTAAGGATTTAGTTCCACACATACCAGTTTACTTAGAACTAAAGCATCACTTCACATTTTAATCTCAAGTATGCTGCATTGTCTTGCCTGCTTCCTCTCATGCCCTCTCCCCATGACCTCTTCCTCAGCAAAATGCTGGAAAGTTATTAGCAAATATTATGTGAAATGTTTAATATCCAAACAGCAGGGTCTGGCATCCCATGAGAGATTCATAGCCCCTGTGGTCAGGACAAGAAAAACAAGGATTGTTTGCAGGCTCCCAGGTCCTGCCGGTTGATGCTTTGAGGCTGGAGTTGTTGTTAAGCAAAAATCTCACAGTAAAGTGTCCCCTCAGACAAGTTATAAACCAGGCTAGGCAGGAATGAGGTATTCAGCTGGGGTGAATTCTCCTTCAGCTGTACCCACAGACTGTGCACAGAAACAAAATACCCTGTACAAGTGCTACTTCAAATGCTGTTCTCCAGCACTGTGTTAGTGGAAGGCATTTCCCTCTTCTGTTCTCAAAAGCACTTACATTAAGGAAGGCTGAGCTCCTTTTGTCTGCAGGAAGGCCGGGACAGACCTGTCAATTTGCTTATGATTTATTAAAAAATTATAAAAGTATTTGTTTATGTGTTTATCAGGGTTGGAGGAGTTTCAAAAGTTGCAGAAGGTTTTCTAAAGCAAGACCTCAGAGCAATTGAGTGGCATAAACACTGTCCCTAAAATTGCATAAAAGCATTTACCCTTTTCCTACTCCAAATATGATCCAGAAACAAATCTAACCATGAAAAAAAAGGCAATGGACAACGTTTGAGACATCAGGCTCATCAGGCTGTGCCATGCCCTTGACACTGAAGCAAAACCCACCCAAGGGAGGGAGGCCAGTCACACTTTTCACTGTGACTGCCACACAAAGTTTGCTCACTGTCCCACTTAGAAAACCAGCATAAACATCTCTGAGCACACAGAGTTCCTCCTGGAAGTTGACTGCACTCAGATTGACTGGAAACACTGACTTCAACCAGGCGAGCATCTGCTCTGCTGCTGTGCCATTGGGCACACACCTATGGAGGAGGCAAGCCCAGGGCTTAAAGGCAATGCCCATGGGGCACAGAGGACTTAGAGCAGCAGATCCAACGTTCCCCAGCCCTCAGACAAGAGCAAACAAGGAACATGCTGCCAGAAGCATGAATCGGCTTTCCCACAGAACTGAGTTCACAGGGAAGTTTTACTTAGTGGGACAGTGCCATTACTTAAAGGTTAATATTGAAATTAAACCTATAGTGTAATATTTTGTGTGTTACCTGGAGTAATGGAGTTGGAGGGGATCCAGGGCTCACTTTTTCCAAGGACAATGTAGATTTCACAGTGAGGACCATGGGGCAGATACATCTGCAAGGAGTAACTGGAGTGTGCGATAGCTCAGCACTGCTTTCTTTAGATCTTCACACTGAGGCAATGCAGAGTCAAAGTAAGGACCTTTCCCAGCATAAGAGGAAGAGGAGGCAGAAGGCAAGGAGCAGCCAGCCACCACGGCCACCCAACCTGTGAGGAACAGGCTTAGCTGCTTCTGTGACTGCACCCCCTGCACCCTCTTCCCCAGCATTGCTATGTCTATGAGTGCTCTGCACTGATGCTCCTTCACCAGTCACCAGCACCAAGTTTCTCTGCTCAGCTCCGCAGAAAAGCAGCTCTTTGGCTCCTGCATCCCAACCAGTCCCAAAAGCAACAGAGTAGCATTTGCCCATTGCTGTGCCTAAGCTTAGGAAACTGGACAACAGCCAGTAGCCCACCAAAGATGATGCCTGAAAATGGTCCCAAGAAGCAGTCCAAAAGGAAGCTTCTTTCTGTGGACCTCTCAATCTGAACCCAGCCCTTGCATTTATCTGAGAATACAGTTTTCAGGGATTGGTCAGGTGGAGAGCACAGGCTGCATCTCAGCTCACCCTTCGGCTCCCCTTCCTACTTCTGCTTCCCAATCTCTGGTATGCCCTGTTCAAGCACACACCACTGACAGATGTTGCAAGCCACCGTGCCCTCCTGATTCTAATTGTTCCTAAATACTTCTTTTAGGCAAAGAAAGAAACTAGTCCTTTTATTGAATGTGCCAAAAGCACCCATAGTTCATTACGTATCTCCTCTACCTTATTACTTGTGAATCCATTTTGTAGACCCCCAGTATCACTGGGCCAGGGTTGAGTCTTATTCCTGGGGAACTGGGAAAGGCAGAAATAGGGAAAAGAGAACATAAGCAATACAGCACAAGGTTTTTCACGGTCTCATTTTAATGATGACAAACCAGATTAACACCACAGGAGGAGTAAGGGTGAAGGACTGTTTCCCAAACATACTGCAGGTGTTCTGTGAAATAAATCAACCTTCTTTTGGAGAAAAAGAAACTATTTCAATATTTAAATTAGTTGCTTGAAATTCTTAAAAGGGAAGAGATATTCTTGATGAACATCAGCTTTTTCATGTTTCACCAGTTTCTGGAAAAGGATCTAGAACAACTACTGCATTAAAGGATATAGAAGGATTGCTGAAGACCTCTCAGCATTCATACAAAGTTGCGGGCAATGGCCAATACTTTGGAGAACTCGCCTTCTCTTCTTCGCAGTGTATAGGGTATTGGTGTTCTTATTCTAGTCCCTATTGGGTTCCCATTATCTTCTATGAGTACCACATTGTTGGAATCAAATCTAGGTGTCATGGTGGGGCCAGGCATCTTGTGCCCTACAATTAAAGCCTTCTTCTTTTCTCCTTTGATAGCCAGAAGAATCTTATCTCCAACTTTGCCAACTCCAGTCTTGTTATACACGTGGATACATTTTGGTGGCCGGTGGTAGGGCGTGTTCCCCAAGGCGCTGTTGTCCACCACTCGCACGCGGGTTAGTTTCTGTATTGCTCGGCACGCTCCAGTGATGCTAGAAAAGACAGTAGAGAATGACAGACAGATCTCCTCAATAATCCTTGGGGAGCAAAGGCAAACCCAGAACAGAATCCTGTCATTACACAAACCTCTCAGGAGGCACCAGCAATGAATATATACCATATGAGTGACACACTGATTGAATTCAATATGCTCTTTGAAAGCCAGATGCTACTTGGGGCTTTGCACACTCTTTACTAAATGTCAAATACAAAACAACCTTTCTACTCCAAAACACAACTAAAAGATGGTATGAAGAGTGGCTTGCGTACCATGGGCTTTTTAGCAACTGCAGATGATGCAGCTTCAATCTACAAGCAAAAAAATGTGCTCACTTCTGTTTCAAAAAGCCTGCAGGAAGCTAAGACTCAAGTCAGGCTCCTTCTATCTTGCACACAGTACCCAGCACTAAGGACTTTTATGATCTACCTTCCTTTCACTGAAGTCTGTGAGTCTCACAGTTTATTTTGTTCTCAGTAAGACCTCTGAGGTCCTGCTGTGGCTGTCCTAAGCTGTTCCAAACTGGAACCTAAGAGATCACCACCTTCCCCATGTAGAAGGAATCCAGAGAGACACACTCTCTTCTGTATACTTGCTTTGTGGAAGTAAGAAACAACATAAATAAACTGCACAATACTAGTTGCTAGGTCCAACTCTGAATATTCTTGGGAAGAGTAGGAACATACTACCTTATAGAAACCATTATTCTTTTATTCAGTTAGCTCAAACTCAAGTGATTTGTCGCTTGTCTTCAAAGGACACCCAAACACAGACCATTGGAAAAGAAGGAAGATCCTCTCTGCTGCTGAACAACTGCTTTGCAATGAGGTACTAGAAACATGCTGGCCAGAGCTGCAGGAATGCAAACCTGCTGCCAGCTGAACTACTCAATAATAGCATATGGAAGCAACCCAACCATTCACCTTGTTTTTCAAAAGTGTGTAAAGTAAATAGGGACCATCATCCCTTCTTGAAGAGGAAAGACCTGTATTTGCAAAGCTACCTAAAAAATGAACATGCACACCAAATGTGGTGTGGATGGACATCAGCTGAAGCAGGAATTTTTACACATGTGAAGAAGGACAGTGAAGTCAATTTGCGTAAGTCCAACTGCTCCAGAGGTCAAGCTCTGCCTTTCAAGATCTGTTTCCCACAGTAGAGGCCTCCTCCTTTAGCTTTTCTCTCTCTCTCAGAAGTCACTAATCTCTGCAACCAGCCATGCCATCCCATCCAGTCCCATCCCATCCTCTGGCAGGGACTGTGGTACACCACACTCTCTCTCCTCTGCCCACCATCTGTGGCTGCACAACCGGGAAAGCAGAAGGGAGGAGGCTGGAGAAAGACAAGTGTTGTCACAGGAAGGAGCAGGGAAAACCTCAGTGGGACCAAGTGTACAAGACAGCAGTAGCAAATAGACATAAATGTGACTGTCCAGGCACCACTAGACAAGAATAACGACACTGGGAGAACTTTTTCTTTCCCTCTTTTTCTTGATTTCTGCCACAGTCTTAGAGGAATACCCCACAAAGAAAAGGTCTCCCCATTAAGTTTTCTGAAGTCCTGTTCACCTTTATGGACTGGACTTCACCTCCTTGTCATTGTCACTTATACATGCTGTAGTGGTTTGACAGGAAATGTGTTTTCTGGGATGCTGTGGTTGGGCCAATGAATGTTTAGTTTTTAATACTGGCACCTAATGTGGCCATTGGGACATTGGATCCGCCTCTGAGAACACGGGGTTAAAAGCAGAGCTCTCCCCTGGGAGGCTCTCTTGGGTTCCGCTGAGGAAAGAGTTCGGGTCTCTCCCCCATCCAGCTGCTGCTGCTGGGCGGGGGAGAGGAGCCATGCGGCTGGGTGAGGTAGGCCGAGGCTTGGACCCAGAGGGGAGGTGAAGAGGCCCCGAGGATGGAAGGGCGGGAGAAGTACCAGGAGGCATCAGGCAGCCCCCCCCAAGAGAGAGAGAGAGTACAGCCTGTGCTTGGGACTGTGCTACCTTGAAACTTGATAACATGTGCTGGCAGCACGGCTGAGAAGGAGAAGTGGAGGGAGGGGGAGGATGCAGCGAGAAGGTGTCCAGCCGCTGTGGGAGTTCCTGAGAAGGCAGAGTCCAAGTTTTTAACCCTTTTTGGACAATGAAAACTTTGCAGAACATTGACCTTTCCTAGAAGAGAGATAGAGTGGAAGATGAGGAAGGAAATGGGCAAGTGTGAGAGAGGTCTGGGCGAGTGAGAAATAGTGGAAGAATAGAGAAGAATCCTAGTGGGAAGAGATGATGGAGTGGCTTTTGCTGGACTCTTTTTGTACAGCCATGGACAGAACCATGTTCCTTGTGACACAGAGACTGCATTCTAGGGGGAGGTAATGCCTCAGAACCAAGAGGGTTCAGTGTTGGTGCCCCTCAGCCCCAGGGGGTGAAAAAATATGGGGGGGACAGGTGTCCTAAAGGAGAGACTGTGCTCTTTTTGGATAGGGACAAAGCATCCTTAGAAAGACACCCCTAGAAGCAGTTCTGGTCCGTGTTCAGTGGTGAGAGCACTGGACATGAAAAGGAAGAAGTCACGACGGCAGATGTACTCCGGGCGGTGCCACAAGTGACACGGAAACACACGAGGCTTCAACTGTGTTTCCAGGGGAAGCCCATGGTACAAGAAGGACTCCTCTCCTCTTGATGAACTGAGGATTGATTGTTTGAAGAGTGGTGCTGGACTAAGAGTTGGTGATTTGGGGAGTAGATGCATTGTATTGGAAATTTGGTGGGGGGAGGAGGAAATGTATTTGTAAGGTTTTCATTTTTCCTGTGTGTGTTCCTTTTTATATATAGTTGTAGTGTAGTTAAGTATTAAGTTAAGTAGTGTAGTATGTTAAGTATTATTAAAGTTTTGTTTTCTTTTCTTTCCTAAGTAGGAGCCTGCTTTGCTTATTCCTGGTCACATCTCACAGCAGAAACCAGGGAGAGGGTATCCTCTTGGAGGCACTGGCATTGTGCCAGTGTCAAACCATGACACATGCTTTAAATGTATGCTGGCCAATGCTCTCATGCAGCCCACTTAAAGAGAAAGCCAGAAAGACCTGGATACCTCCTTGAGATAGCTCCCAGGACGACCACACAACCTAGCCCATATCTTAATCCCCCTTCTGGGAACCACAATCCTGAGAATGACTATTCTCATCCTTAGAGATTCCCCAAATTGGCACAGTGTACTGTGGAATTAAACTCTAAGATTTGTGCAAGGCATTGAAAAATATGAAGTCCATAAATTTAAAACTTTAAATGCCTAGAGCAAGAAACAAAAGAAAAACAACAAAATAGGCACTATTAAGTATGAGAAAGTAATTTTTCAGATTATTTTTATTCTAAATAAATGATAAACTGTTGAATAATTTTGAGCACTGTAATTGGCTCTGCATCAGCAGGGGCTTGCTCTTGGGTTTTTTTGCACTTGCATGAGAAACACAGACACTTTCAACTTCTACTTGCAGGCCCATGTATGGCTGTCAAAGGCCTAAAAGCCTCCTTACACACATATGAAAATGCAGAATGCTAGGAACCTGCAAATGGAGTGTCTGGGCTCACTTTTCAACCCATGAAAGGACAAGTGTAAGATTTAAAAAAAAAAATTTATTACCCTTTTGAATTACAAATGCTGTATCTTATTCTTGATCAACTTAAGAGCATCTCTTCCAACCATGAAACATTCTGAAGAGAACAAAAGCAAACTCTGAAAGTTACCTGAACTGTCGTTGGATCACAGCACTGCTTAGATGGGTTAAGGATAAACCAACTCGTCTATTCAAGAGAGCCATTTGGTAGCCAACCCTGCATAAGAAACAAAAGAATTATTAACTCTGGAAAATGGACAGAATTTGGTTTGCTTTCTTTCCTTTCCATGAATCACACACTAGGGCCTCAGCACCTATTTAGATGGTGCAATCCACAGGACACAGAGTGCTAGCAGCAGCTGCAGCACACTACAAGCAGATCTACAACCACTGCCTGAATTCAGGAGACAATGTAATTCAGACACATATTCTACAAAGCTGGATTCAGTATCACTGCATTGCAGTTTCCTAGGCACGGAGGTAAGGGCCCTTCTGTGTGCACTGTGAATCATGTAACAAGAAGCAGGTTTGAGAATTTCAGATGTGAACTGGTTTAGAGGCTGCAATGCCCAGAAAAAGTCATCATGGTTACTTGTAAAAGCTACCAAGGTTACCTACAAAACTAAGCAAAAGGCCAAATAACCTACAGACTGGCATCACAGCTTCAGGAAACAATTTGCCAGCCAAGAAACAAGTCAGAGCCCCATTGGTGAGGGCATGCTCTCTCTTGGCATACAAAGGTATTAAGCAGCCTTAAGTTACAAGACACGGTTACGCCGCTGCCAGTCTTGCCCTGTTCAGGCTGCCCAGAGAAGAGTTCCCTGTACCTTTACAGTGCTCACTCCATGCTGCTGTACACTGCACATCACCCTGAGTGCAGCAGAGCTGGGTTACAAGGGTAACCTCACTGAGAACCACACCCTCCTCCCTGCCTACGTCTGTGGCAGCACCCTAACCCCATTCTGTCAGACTGACTGGGACCAGCTTGCGTGCGCAGACACAAAGGCTTATCTGAACCCAGATCACTCTCCCAAACATTATTAGGGAGCCATGACCCAGGTGGTTATGCCGGCAGATCCAAGTGAAGGAAGGAAACAACACAGACCTAGAGCCAGGCCTCTTTCAGGCCAGCTCAGGTACAGCTAAGACTTTCCACCTGACTGCAACTACCACCATGTGACACAGCTTGCTGTGACCTTGGCAGTGCAACCAACATGTGCTCTGCTTCTCTCCTTTCAAAAGCAAACACTAAAAATTCATTGACCTCATCTCTCTCTGACAGTTCTGATGAGTTTTGGTCCAAACTATAATAAAACACTGTAAAGCCATTTTTAACCTTTATTTTTAAAATAAAGCTGAGTTAACTTCTCTAGGGAAAAAAAATACGCACAGAGCCTTCAAATAGACAATGCCACAGCTCCTAATACAACCAAGTGAAGTCCAGCCTAAATCTTAACTCTCTCTTTTATTATTTTTTTCTCCAATGTGTTTGCTTACTTGGGGATGTGTGTAAGTTTTAGGGTCTGCAGCTGTTCTACAAAGCAAGTGTTACCTGAGAGCACAATGAAAAGCACAGGACATGTGCACCACAGCAGTTTTGAGTGGTGCTACCTGAGCAAAGCACAGGTGGCAAAACAACTCTGTCAAACAGGCAGGTTTGGAAAAGAACAGCAACAGCCAAAGCTTACGTTTATTTACTTAAAAAAAAAAAAAAAGCCACTTTTCTGTGGGGTAGATGATCATCAAATGAGTTGAGAGCTTGCCCACACTGTCTCCTCTCTGAAATGTGACTCCAAAAAGGCTGTGTTTATGCCACATGTCCTTACCTGTGTGATCCTAATGCCTAATGACAGCAAGGCCCTGTTGCATTTACAGTGCTGATGGCAATCAAGGTCCAATACCTGGCCTTGCTGATGCTCAGATTTCTAAGCAAGTTCAACTATGCTGACTTGCTTTAAGCCCACCATCTGCCTGCATCCTGTTCTGCATGTGAGTGTGCTGTCTCCCCATGTCAAAGAATCATAATGAGCCTTTGGATCCCTCTACAAAACCCAAAAAAGCAGCAGCAAGTTGGCCTCTCTGTTGTCTTTCATGGACACTTGGGGAATTCACAGAGCACTGTCACTCCCATCCCTATTTCCTAGCAGGCATGGTAGCCTTGGTGGCTGGGGAAGGTGTGTCTGCTCATCCTCATCACTACATAAGTGAGGTCTGTGAGCTCATGACAAGGCAAGCACAGCTGCAGGCTCTGACTGCTGTCAAAGGGACAGTAGCATCAAGACCAGCATACCCAGATGTGCTTAAAGCACAACTAAAATGTGCTGAAGTGTTGCATAAACTCTGAACTCACTCATCACTCCTGGGACAAGTCACTGTTTGTTTCTACCCCGTGGCAGCAGTGAAGGTTTGAAGTTACAAAACTACCAGCGGAAGCATCAATTGCATTAAGTGTCCAAGGACTGTTTATTTTTTCAGATGACTCAGTATCCCCTTCTCAGCTAAGAATCATTCCTCAGTACATGAAGATGTGTCACAAGCTAAGAAATTTCTTATGATTGATTATTTGGTATGAAGCATCCTGTTAGCAACTGAGTAAACAGGGGGGATGCTTCCAATTAGCAGGAGGGTTCAGGGTGGAGGGAAAAGAAGAATGCATCTATGGCATGAAGAACAGCATTCAAGGGTGCAAGTGTGTTCACACACTTGAAGAGTGAATCACAACTTCAGCTATTGTAACATGCCAGCTTCCTTTCTAGAAAGGACCAGCCAATAGTCTGGGTCTGACTCCAGGTGCTACTCAACCAGACCCAGTCCCAATTTGATCCCTCTGTGGCTGTGAACTTTATCTCTCCTGCCCTCAGTTTAGCCCAAAGGAGTTGCTAATTACTAAACAATTAAGCTTTGAAGGGCAAAAAAACCCATTCACTCTGGCACACTTCGTGCTGCCACACGAACACTCCCAAGCTGGTGCCAAAATTGAAGAGAACACTCCCAAGCTGGTGCCAAAATTGAAGAGCTGCTATAAATCAATGACAGCCATCAGCCCCAGTGCCCCCAGCACTTTTCTCCTTCCCAGCACACATTGCCTCACACCAGGGAGCCTTAAAAAGGGTCAGAGGAAGCTGCACTTAGGCACAGGGAATGTGTATGATCCAAGTTTGCTTCTGAAGGTGGCTCTTTGCAGGTCACCAGGTTTCAGTGCTCCCAGGTGTATGGGAAGAGTAACCCCATACCCTTCAAGCACAGCAAAATTTGTAGAATTCCCAGAAGTCTGCCATCAGTACTACCCAACTGATACAGGCAGGAGCACACTGCAAAATACCCTGGACAGACAGAACACCACCACTTGCTTAGTACTTAGTCACTAATACACTCCTGACCAAGGATTTATCTTTGAAGGGGGCTTTGGAGGTCACCTAGTCCAATCTCCTGCTCAAGCAGGATTAATTTCCAAGTTTTCCAAACTAGGCAAGAGCAGTATTTAAATAGACACTATCCTAAAATGAGAAGCCTCAAAGGCAACTATTGATATAACATTGACCACTCATAGCTGCACCAAAGCAGCAATAAAGAATCAGGAAGAGGAATCTCTTGCTGTTTCTATCCTGCTGCCCCTAATTTCTAGTAGTGGCTCTATTTCATGAAAATCACAGTCACAGACACTTTGCCCCTCTCCACATATCTGTTAAAAGTTATCACGGACCTCAGACAAGAGCTCAAAGTAATATTCAGAAAAAGGTGAGGAATTTGTTAATCAAATATTCACTAAAATGACCTTATTTCTACTTCACTGAATTACTTTTGAGCATGCAGTAACCTGCTACTGCAAATACTCTTCTCAAGGACCCTTCAGCCTTACCCCATTCAATGCAAAAGATTGACATAGAATTCCAGCACTGCTCAACAAAGAAACTCTTCACCAGTTATAAACATATGGAAGTTATTTATCCACTGCACCATTCTCAAGTGCTCTAGCTATCACCTTCAGTGGTTTTCCTTGATATTAAAGAACTAACTTGTATTTGCTGAAATCTGGAGAAATTCTGGAAAGTTTCATCCCAGCTAATAAAATTTGAAAACACAAAAGATACATGTACAGCATGAGTAAACCATCTCAGGGAACTGATACAGAGCAAGGACATGTGCCAGACAAGGAAGAGAGGATTACATACTCACTTTAAATGAACATCAGGGCACGCAGCACCAAAGGAAGCCCTGTGTCCCCCCAACACACACTTCCATCACCTCCCTTAAGCTGGCTTTAGCACTTATGTAGATCAGTCATTTTTCAGCTAGCTCAGCCTGAAGGCACATGAACACTCCTGCAGCAGAACGTGGTCTGCAAGTCCCAGTCTGCAACACAAAACTGGGACTTCTCCCACTGGCAACTCAGCTTTATGTGGTGACAGTATCTCCAAAGAAATACCTGGAGACTTGGACAAGAAAAGAATCTCTTCTCATTTCAGCAAAAACACTGGTGTGCCTCACAAGAATGGTCTGCATGAATCTGCTCTACTAATACAGCCATGGGAGCACTGAAAAGGTCTAGATCTGAACACTCCAGAAGCCGTGCAACAGTTCTGACCAAGGTCTTACCAGTGGTCTACACCCGAAAAAAAACAGTCAAGGCACCATTCTTACCCTGCCTGCATGCTAGAGTAAATGTAATTTTAAAGAGTGCTGTTACCTGGCAATCCAGCAATACTTTCCTTTTTAAGTTTGGAACTAACCCCTCCTCCCTATATTCCCAAGATCTCTAATTCCATAATAATTCAGCTACTCCTTTTCCTTCTTTCTGTTGGCAACTCATCCACACAGACAGGCCCAATAGAAAACCAATGGATGTTGCAAAGCAAATGCTGAGGCCAACTACCCAAAGACTGCTGTCAAAGCCAAAGAAACCAGATAAAAATATTCTTCACTTTTATAGCAGTGACCTGATCTGCACAGTCAAACAGTGGGGACCAACATCACCTTTATTCTTTTAAAAGATCAAAACAGACATCCTCCAGGCAGCATAAAGATTTGAACTGCATCTGTCATCCAGCATTAAAACACAGGAAATAAACTCAAGACAGTACATGCAACGCAAATGCCTAAACCCCTACTCTGCCACTGCAGGTCTATTTATAGACCGTCTGCCACAGCGAGCTGCAGGAGCCAACTGTGAACTGGGGGACTCAATCTATTCACAGCTCTCCTCCTAAAGGAAACAATGTGATTAAGGGCTGTGTGTGTTAAAAATACACAAGATATTCATTACCAAGACATAATTGGTTTTATATTAATGATAAAAAAAAGACCAGGATTCACACAGAGGAATTAAGTATTTTTTAAATCTGTTTATGAACAGGATTAGCTATTAAAGAGGATATTTACTGATCCAAGCTACCAACAGAAACTCATTACAGGTGTATCTGTTAACAATTTTGAAGCAAAACACACTAAGCTCATTTTCTAGACCA